GAAAATGGGTTTCCTTCCCCCCCCCCCCCCCATTAATTCCTATTGGCCCTTCACTGCGATAAGCTTGCTCAGGGCAATTAGGTATGTGTGGGATGCAGAGAGGGTGGACAATCTTTAACTTAACAAGGAAATGCTGACAGACTTTACAGTGAGAAAAGCCCGGCATATGGCCAGCAAGCTATTGTGGGTATTTGATGGCACCTCTAGTTAGCTGCACTTTATGCCTCTTTTGTCAAAATGAGAATGTCGCTTTAAGCCAGGCTTGCACTAGCAGTGACTAATGTAGCTGCCTTAGTGGGCTTGGTAGAACCCCACAAAGGTGAGGATCCCAGAGCCCTATTATTATCCGACAGCTTTAAGTAGGAAAATTCTTTGCATGGGACAGATTACATAGACTATTAAGGTTAAAGCTGCTGGGACTTTGGATCTCCATTAAGGCTTCATTTTGTTTGTCAAGTTGTAGTCCTTGAAATCCAATAGCATAATAACCCCAATAAAAATGCTTAACCAGTAAAGTTTACTATTTTGTTCCTTGTAGGTGTATTGATATCTTGGAGTTGTCGGAACGTTTGGATTTGCTGAAGTTCCACTATCACACCCTTAAGCTGTACTGTTCAGTCTGCGCTTTGGGAAATAATCGTGTGGCTCATGCCCTGACCAGCCATGTTGATGAATCTCAGTTGCTTTATACTATTGAGAGTAACCACCTGTCAGGTCTTCTTCGGAGTGGCTTCTATGACCTCCTTATCAGCATCCACTTGGAATCAGCCAAGAGAGGTCGTATGACCATGAACAGCGAGTTTATCGTCCCTATGACCGACCAGACAAAGAGTATCAAACTTTTCCCCAATGAAATAAAAAAGCATGGGCTTCCTGGTGTTGGTATGAGTACATGTCTTAGACCAGAGCTACATTTTTCTCATACCTGCTTTGTTAGCACTATTAGTGAACTTTACCAACACAGTCCATTCATCCCACTGGATATCCTCAAGACCAAAGCTGTTGGCATGTTGACAGAAGCAGTGCTGGATGGTGGACAACATACCAGGGATCCTGTTGGAGGAAGTGTGGAATTCCAGTTTGTACCAGTCCTAAAGCTTATCTCCACCCTTTTAATCATGGGTGTGTTTCAGGATGATGATGTAAGACACATCCTAAAGATGATTGAACCGAATGTGTTTTCTGAAGAGGAGCCAGCAGAAGAAGAGGAAAAAACTGAAGAAGGTGGAAAGGAGGGTGCAGAAGAAGAGGCTACTGAAAAAGTTGCTGAGGAGGGAGCTGAAGAGGGAGAAGAACAGGAAAGGACTGAAGGAGAAGAGAAAGCAGTTGAAGCTGGAGAGGATGAAGTCGAAGAGGAGGGCATGGAGGAAGGCTTACTGCAAATGAAGCTGCCTGAGTCTGTGAAGTTGCAGGTAGGACTGTTTTTTAGTTTCATATATATTCAGCTTTCCGTTGATCAGCTGCTCTCAGATATAAAGGCTACAAAAAGTACTGTACCACCTGTAAAGTTTGGGATGTGTACACTCTCTGTTGTATGTTGAAAATCTGCCGCAGGGACTACAGGACCCTAAGAAGCCTTTAAACGCAGGATTCTTCCAGTCTTCATTTTTTACCTTGGTCTTTTTAGTGCTTGACACTTGGCAGTAGAGAGTGGATCTATTTATTATTGACAAAAGAAGCAGATTCTGGTGATGGCTGTCAAGTATTAGATAGAGCACATTAAACTATATAATGATCTGCAAGTGTCTGCTTTTACAGGCTCCAATGACCTGTCTGCCGAGGGCAATGTCTTGTATTCTGATTTCCTCAAAGGTGACCCTGCATAGCAAAGAGTAAAAGCATTGCATACAAATAAAATATCAAGGACAAACTGAGCTGAGATTTAAGAGGCAGGATTATCAAGTGCAAATGAACTTTGGGTGCTACATGAAGCCCGAAAACATTCAGCTTTGGATTGTGAATAGCAGAACTTTGAGAGAGCAGAGGTCATTATGACAGTGCATAAAAATAAGCAACAAAAGTTTGGAAAGTCTGCCTTAGCCATTATTCTCCTCTTCCACAGATGTGTAACCTGCTGCAGTATTTCTGTGACCGAGAACTGCAGCATCGGGTTGAAGCCATCATTGCCTTTTCTGAGCGCCATATGGATAGCTTGCAAACCAATCAGAGGAAGCGTTACAAAGAACTGATGCAAGCATTCACCATGTCTGCAGCAGAGACAGCGCGAAGAACCAGAGAATTCCGTTCCCCTCCACAAGAACAGGTGAGTCTTTCCTGCATGTCTTTATTTAATGTCTTTGAAGATTCATATCTGCTCACATAACTCCCCCAGGGATGCCATAGATATTATGGTTTCAGGGAGGCAGTATTAGAACATTTTGGATAGCTGCAGGTTGGAATGGTAGGGTCATGGATACCATGGTTTCAGGGAGGCAGTATTAGAACATTTTGGATAGCTGCAGGTTGGAATGGTAGGGTCATGGATACCATGGTTTCAGGGAGGCAGTTTTAGAACATTTTGGATAGCTGCAGGTTGGAATGGTAGGGTCATGGATACCATGGTTTCAGGGAGGCAGTTTTAGAACATTTTGGATAGCTGTAGGTTGGAATGGTAGGGTCATTTTAATAGCATTAAGTTGTAAACTAGCTTCTGTAGCGATTATATATTATACCACTTTTGTCTCTGATGACTAGTGTGGCAATATTTTAGTACTAGTTCTCAGGGCCATTTACCTGCCATCCAATATTATGAGAAAGCCTCACTTTTTGTCTGCATTTATAACTAATACTATGGAGAATGGAGCAGAGAGATTCCCCTTACTGCAGGAGGAGATTGGGATACGGCAGGTCAGGTATGGAAATTCCACCTCTACAGTGTGTAAAATAAATGAGAAACCAGTCTGTCCATTATTCACCCATTACTTCAGTATCAGTTTTGGGTGATGTACCTTATTTAACTAAATTAGCTCAACTAGTTGATTCTAACCACTTAGAATGGAAAAATATATTACAAAGGCATAGCAATGTTTGATTAACACTCTCTTAGAGAAAGAAAAGTTAAAACAAACTTAAATATAAAGTAATGTTCACACTAAATATTCAATTCTATCTATTAATTTTGTTACAAATATTGAAATGGTACATGTGAATATAAAGCCAGTAAGCCGGTGACAAATGGGTAAATACATTGGGGCACTGATTTCCTACAGAACATTTTTATGACTTTTCTATGTAGCATTCATCTGCATCTGTGCTAATATAGAGAAAGAAACTCAGAAAGGACAGGCTGTATACAGTCACATACTAGAGTAGGTCACTCCAGCTTTCACAGATGTTGGCTGCCCTCTGTGTGAACACAGACTACAATGCAGCATCCCAGTCCCCCCCTCCCTTCATTAAGTTACAATGTTTTTATTGCCATAATTACATTTTTAAAAACACTATATTTTTGTGATAATAATACTTAAGTCATTCCTAAGAGGTATTGCCCATGCACAGCCTTTCACATGTAATATGATGTCCTTTTCAGATTAACATGCTAGTCAACTTCAAGAATGTTCCAGAGGAGGAATGTCCTGTGCCGGAAGAAATCCGGGATGAGCTCAACGAGTTTCACAGTGATCTTTTGGCACATTGTGGTAAGAGAGCCCTGGAATAATGTTTCCCCTCTAACCCTTCAGAATTAATTCACGAGCCTCTTGCAGAAATATGACCCTTTGCTTATTATTATTATTATTTATTCAATCAATTTATATGGTGTATTTAGAACATTTTGGATAGCTGCAGGTTGGAATGGTAGGGTCATGGATACCATGGTTTCAGGGAGGCAGTTTTAGAACATTTTGGATAGCTGCAGGTTTGAATGGTAGGGTCATGGATACCATGGTTTCAGGGAGGCAGTTTTAGAACATTTTGGATAGCTGCAGGTTGGAATGGTAGGGTCATGGATACCATGGTTTTAGAGAAGCAGTTTTAGAACATTTTGGATAGCTGTAGGTGGAATGGTAGGGTCATGGATACCATGGTTTCAGGGAGGCAGTTTTAGAACATTTTGGATAGCTGCAGGTTTGAATGGTAGGGTCATGGATACCATGGTTTCAGGGAGGCAGTTTTAGAACATTTTGGATAGCTGCAGGTTGGAATGGTAGGGTCATGGATACCATGGTTTTAGAGAAGCAGTTTTAGAACATTTTGGATAGCTGTAGGTGGAATGGTAGGGTCATGGATACCATGGTTTCAGGGAGGCAGTTTTAGAACATTTTGGATAGCTGTAGGTTGGAATGGTAGGGTCATTTTAATAGCATTAAGTTGTAAACTAGCTTCTGTAGCGATTATATATTATACCACTTTTGTCTCTGATGACTAGTGTGGCAATATTTTAGTACTAGTTCTCAGGGCCATTTACCTGCCATCCAATATTATGAGAAAGCCTCACTTTTTGTCTGCATTTATAACTAATACTATGGAGAATGGAGCAGAGAGATTCCCCTTACTGCAGGAGGAGATTGGGATACGGCAGGTCAGGTATGGAAATTCCACCTCTACAGTGTGTAAAATAAATGAGAAACCAGTCTGTCCATTATTCACCCATTACTTCAGTATCAGTTTTGGGTGATGTACCTTATTTAACTAAATTAGCTCAACTAGTTGATTCTAACCACTTAGAATGGAAAAATATATTACAAAGGCATAGCAATGTTTGATTAACACTCTCTTAGAGAAAGAAAAGTTAAAACAAACTTAAATATAAAGTAATGTTCACACTAAATATTCAATTCTATCTATTAATTTTGTTACAAATATTGAAATGGTACATGTGAATATAAAGCCAGTAAGCCGGTGACAAATGGGTAAATACATTGGGGCACTGATTTCCTACAGAACATTTTTATGACTTTTCTATGTAGCATTCATCTGCATCTGTGCTAATATAGAGAAAGAAACTCAGAAAGGACAGGCTGTATACAGTCACATACTAGAGTAGGTCACTCCAGCTTTCACAGATGTTGGCTGCCCTCTGTGTGAACACAGACTACAATGCAGCATCCCAGTCCCCCCCTCCCTTCATTAAGTTACAATGTTTTTATTGCCATAATTACATTTTTAAAAACACTATATTTTTGTGATAATAATACTTAAGTCATTCCTAAGAGGTATTGCCCATGCACAGCCTTTCACATGTAATATGATGTCCTTTTCAGATTAACATGCTAGTCAACTTCAAGAATGTTCCAGAGGAGGAATGTCCTGTGCCGGAAGAAATCCGGGATGAGCTCAACGAGTTTCACAGTGATCTTTTGGCACATTGTGGTAAGAGAGCCCTGGAATAATGTTTCCCCTCTAACCCTTCAGAATTAATTCACGAGCCTCTTGCAGAAATATGACCCTTTGCTTATTATTATTATTATTTATTCAATCAATTTATATGGTGTAGACATATATTTCTGCAGCATTTTCCCAAAGAGCTTTGAACCATTCACATTAGTCCTTGCTCCAGTGGAGCTGATGTAATCTCCTCTGACGCAAACCAAGTCTAATGTACAGTATACTGAGTGAGAGTGTGGTAGAGTTTCAATGTAAATGAATAAGCACTTAGCTGCTGTGCCGCCATTTTGGGCATTGGACAACTTTTGAAGTCTGTTATCTTTTCTGCTGTCTTCAGTATGTTTTTGATTGCAAAAAAAAATAATTCACCATCCAAAATATTTTGAACTATGTAATTTTTAGAGCAGTATTAGAAGCTTTTGGGCTATTCTTTCAAACATGTTTTCCTTAGGGGTTCATATTGAGGGAGAGGAAGAGGAAGAGCAGGAAGAAACCAGCCTGACCAGACGTCTCTTGAGTTTAGTGGAGAAAATAAAAAGTCTACGTGGCAAGAAGAAGGAACCAGACCCTGAGCCCGAAGAGGGGGAGGAACCTAAACCTAGTAAGTAATTACAGATGGCACTTGGCCTATTGTATTTTGACTGTCTTGCTTGGTTTAGCAGCCCACAACTTGTTGTTAAAGTACATGTAAACGTGTCTTCTAGAACAAACCTCCCCTTTCCTTCATTGCACTTTTGGACTCCATTTTACTGGAAAGTATATGTAAACCCTAAATAAATGACAATTACTTTGCTCAATCATTGGGTATATTTAACAGCTACAATTTTTCAAATAAAATGCTTTTTTATTTTATCTTTGTATTTATCCTATGCTGATCCCTTTCCCCGTTGTGCTAATAAATGGCTACTAACTAGGGAGGCAACGATACCGTTACTAGTATCTGTATCTGTGCCGATACCGCATATTTGGGCAAGTGCTCGTACTTGCCCAAATGCTCAGATACACACCTCCGATACCAGAACTTCCGGGCAGAGGGACATTTCCTCTGACCGGCAGTGCCGTGACAGAACCTGGAGCAGTCGGCCTCCTGATTGGACAGGAAGTTGGCCCGATGCTGTTTGGCCAGCTTGATGCTGATTGGCTGGCTGTCATTACCCGCTGCCCGGCTTCTTGATTGCCTGGGAAACCGGCTCCATGCTAGCGGAATTTCCGGTATCGGTACTCGGTATCCGCAAGTACAGAAAGTTAAATATTGATACTCATACTCAATACCGAAAAACTGGTATTGGTGCATACCTACTACTAACCCAATATGCCTTTTGTTTGAGGATGCCCAATTGTAAGGAACAAGTTCTGTTCTAGAGAGACTAGACAAGAATGCCCCCCCCAAAAAGGTAGGTGCAAGACAGCAGAAGCGCCCGGATGGAAGAAATTAAGTGACTGTGTTTCTTCAAATTAGACTTTTATTCCATGAAACATACACATAACTACACCGTCTCAACGTGTTTCATGGCTCTGAGTTGGCCACTTCTTCAGAAAGGTGTGATGAGACACTTTAAGATAAGTGGTAGAGGCTCCTGGCGTGTGTAACCTTACATAATTTGAAGAAACACAGTCACTTAATTTCTTTCATCTCGGCGCCTCTGCTGTCTTGCACCTACTTTTTTGGGGGCATTCTTGTCTCGTCTCTCCAGTACACATCAGGTTCTTCTAGCTGCTAAGCTCTGGATCATCCGAACTCCACCCTGACGAGCATCGAGAGCGACCATCCTGCGCAGGGACAGAAATATTCACTGTACACCTTTTTTGCCGTTTGGATTGCCTGATATCCCCAAACGGGGATCTCTCGCAACCTATCTATGTGAGTATCGAACTTGTTCTTATTCACCTAAAATGTAGCTATCCATAGCATTGTAATATAAATACTAAACTCGGATCTCTCCTGGGACTTTTTGTCCTTAAAGGAGAACTATGGGGTCAGTGTTTTTCCCCATAGTTCTCCTTGGGGTAACGGAAGGACACAAACTAGCATCCTCCCGTCACCCTAAGCTCAGTATACCGCGAGCTACAGCTCGCGGTATACTGAGACGCCGCACCTGGAGCGGATCCCGACTTAGATGACGGGATGCGCCCAGCTGCGTGAGTGACAGCTGGCTCTGCCTATCTAGAGGCAGAGCCAGCTGTACCCGCCCCCTCCCCCGTCCGTTCTGCCAGTCAGCGCTGGCAGATCGGAGCGGGGAGAGGGGAATCCAGCCCCTCCACCTGTCACGGCAGAGAGCCGTGACAGGATCGAGAGGTGAGGGAACCCGGTATGTTTTCCCTCACCTCCCGATCTACTGAGCCGACCTGTGACAGTCTCATTGTCACAGGTCGGCTTAGAACTATGACGTGAGTGGAAATCACTCATGTAATAGTTCTCCTTTAATTTTGTTGCTCCTACTATTGGTTAGAGTTGTCTCTCTTTCAAGTTCTGTTCTACATCATGTTTCAGTCTACAAAAACTTACGACTGTCTGTAATATGGACACAATTAGTCATGACATGCCTGCAATGCTGTAACTGTAGGTGATTAGATCTGATTTAAACTTTCAGTACAGATGCTACTGGATACCCTGTAAAAAAATGAGTTATCTTTTTTTTTATGATTAAAGTGTCATTATTTAGGGATAGAAGACATGTTTGATTTCTGAAGTGTACTGTGTTCTCTTTATGTTAACCACCTCTGTTTTGATAAATTCCTCTATGGTAATTTACTTTCTGTTTCTCTCCTCACAGCCACCTTGCAAGAGCTCATCTCTCACACCATGGTGCACTGGGCCCAGGAGTCTTTTGTTCAGAACCCTGAGCTGGTCCGGGTGATGTTCAGCCTGCTGCACCGTCAGTATGATGGGCTTGGGGAACTTATCAGAGCAATGCCCAAAGCCTACACTATCAATGCTGTATCCGTAGAGGACACTATGAACCTTCTGGAGAGCCTTGGGCAGATTCGCTCACTGCTCATTGTGCAGATGGGACCAGAGGAAGAGAACTTGATGATCCAGAGTATCGGGTCAGTACTGATGCAGCATAACATGCAGTGATTTAGCCATTTCCTTTTTTTCTGCTCACTCTTTATTTTGGGGTAATAGAATACTATTGTCAGGGCCTAATTTCTGACACTTGTACCTGTAGTCCCATATACTTAGGAACCCAAAGGAACACATAATGACAATTTATAAATAGGAGACTTCAAGAAGAACTCCAGAACTTGTTTATTAACCCTTGCAGTGCAGGGATAGCCCCACTGCAAGGGTTACGAGCTCGTTTGTGTCTAGGTTAAAAAAGAAAAGTTAGACTCACACGAAAATCCGAGCTGGTTTCTTCTTAGACCGGTCCTTCTTGTGTCTCTCCCCCTCCTCTGCATCGATCTAAGGTCCCGTAAATCATCATGTTCTATACACAGTGTATAGATGTGAGAGTGCTAAAGAAGATTTCAATGCTGCAGGAAGGGAGAGACGGGCTGTAGGGAGCGCCATAACAGCTGGCCAGCTCGGAGCTTCTGGGAGCAAAATTTTGTTATTTTAGCCCCTAGACACAAACGAGCACTTAACCCTTGCAGTGCAGGGGTAGCCCCACTGCAAGGGTTAAGTTAAAAAAAATCCTGGAGTTCTTCTTTAAGATGAATGTACTGTATGTACAGTAAACATAGGAAAAAGTTGCCTCTTTGTGTCTGTGGCCTTTAGACACAGACCTACTGTACCTAATGGTAAATCCGGCCTTGACTGTTGTAGCATTACAAATAAAACGGACAGTCTCCCATAATGCACCCTTATTTTAGCTTTATCAATACTATTAGCACAGCATGGTTATTGATAGTAGTGGTGGAGCCTTAATGGAAAAAATTGTTACCATTATATATACATAGACCTTTGCTTAGAGTGAGCAACATTTCCTTGAAACAACTAAAAGAATTCTACTGTATATATGAGCTTTAGGCTCCATTCACACCTGAGCGGCTCACCGCGTATTTTCGGCTGTACGGATACGCACTGAGGCGATCCAAACACAAAACATTACACAAATTACACAATGGTGCAAGTGCGATAATCCAGCGGATTCCGCACGTTCATGGCTATTTAATAGCCGCAAACGAGCAGCATCTGCGCGGATTAAAAAACATTAGCGTTTTCGTCCCGCACGGTCTTCCATGCGAAAAAACGCGCGGGAACGGCAAATGCTATGTGTGAATGCAGCCTAAAATTTTGAAGAGCCACTATTTTACTTTATTCATTAATAGCTCTATAAATTAGGAAACTGGTTGACACTGTTTATTTTTTTCCCTTATCTAGAAACATCATGAACAACAAGGTCTTTTACCAGCACCCCAACTTGATGCGAGCTTTGGGAATGCATGAGACTGTAATGGAAGTCATGGTGAATGTGCTTGGTGGAGGTGAATCCAAGGTAATTATAGGGTTAGGTCGGAACATCCCCACTGAGATGGGACTTGATGGGACTTCCGGCATGTTTGGTTAACAAAAGCCCCTAGGACATGGTTGGAGGATGCAAATTTAGCTAATCAGGAACATCTTGAAGTGGAGCTGTTACCTTTCCCAGTTTGAGCGGTTCTGGTATTACATATAGATGTTAAAAAATGACCGTCCTTTAAACTTGAATCGGACCTGTCTAACTGAAAAAGTCCCTAGAATGTGCAGAGGGGATTAAACTTGCAAAATTACCGGCTTGAATATTATGAAAGAATGTATTTAATGGCAAAGTGCTGTACAGTCCTGACAGTCCTGTGCTAAAGAGATGCCTGATAAGTATTCAGTGTAGTATATAAAGCTGCTGTGTGATTGAGTTCCTGCGTTTCACTAGTTATTGGACACTACTGGTATTTGAACCGCAATATTAAATGAATCCTAATAGTTGCATTCTTCATAATGATCAGTTTTCAGGAATGACTAACACCAGATATTCTATTATTTTTATTTAAGGAAATCCGTTTCCCCAAAATGGTGACCAACTGCTGTCGTTTCCTATGCTACTTCTGTAGAATCAGTCGGCAAAATCAAAGAGCCATGTTTGACCACCTTAGCTACCTGCTTGAAAACAGTGGTATTGGTTTGGGTGAGTTTATTTAGGTAACTGTATATTTTCTTATTAACATTGAGTGGAGATCAGTGGTCTTCAATGCCTTCTCCTTATTGCAGGAATGAGAGGCTCTACTCCCCTTGATGTGGCTGCTGCTTCAGTAATAGACAATAATGAGCTGGCTCTAGCACTACAAGAGCAGGACCTAGAAAAGGTAATGTGGTTTTACAGCACATAGGAAAAGATGTTACCTTTTGTTGCCCATAACAACTAACATTTTCCAGCTTTCATTTTCTACCCTGCTGTAAAGAGGACATGGCTGGAATGTGGTTGCTATGGACAGCAGCTGCCCTTTTGGGTGGCCATAGACCTTAAGATTTCTTACTGAAAAGCTAATTATTGAGACATTTTCATTTCATCTCTAGAATCTGAAGATTCCAGGGACATGGGACCCATCACTATCTTTAGCCAGTGTTGCAGTTCAGTGCAACGATGGGATTAGACCCTTTCCTATGCTGGAATGTAGGGGAGGTTAGCATGATTCTTGGTGCTTTTATTAATGAAGGTTTTAGTTTATTTGGAAGTACAGTGGTACCTCGGTTCACAAATGCCTCTGTTCGCGAACAATTCGGTTCGCGAACAGGAAGTTTGGCAAAATGTTGCTTTCGTTTGCGAACTCCACATCGGGTGACGAGCACGACCACAGTTATCTTCCCCGCTCTGACACGTGATTGTGGCTTCCTCTAGTCGAGTATATGTATTCCAGAATCCTGCTGCACTCCTTACCGAGTATCCCTGTCAGCGTGGGTGCTCGAAGTGACCGCCGATGGCGCCGCCAATACTGAAACTTGTTTAAGATGTCACCAGCACACCATATTGTAGTGAAGAACACATCTGTTTATTGACGCTTCATGTCAAAACAAACAGCAACGTTTTTGGGGCCACACAGGGTTTCCTTCATCAGGTTTGAAATGACTGTGTGGCCCCCGAAACGTTGCTATTTGTTTTGACATGAAGCGTCAACAAACAGACGTGTTCTTCACTACAATATGGTGTGCTGGTGACATCTTTAACAAGTTCCTCTAATCGAGATCGCGGTCGCAGACAGACCTGTGCACAGTTGCTGTGAAGCTTTTTTGTGTGCTTTTTAGCACATACCGTACTGTACAGTATTATTCAATCCGGCATGGCTCCAAAGAAAGTGCAGAGCAAGCTTGGTGGTAAACAGAAAGTGCAGAGCGGTAATGAAGGTGACAAGAATGTGCAAAGCGTTTAGTGTTCACTCTCTTCGTACTGTACTGTACTTTGTTTCATATTTTTGTGGTTAAATTTTTTTTAAATATATGGTTCAGAACGGATTAACCTTATTTACATTGAATCCTATGGAAAATTTGATTCTGTTTGTGACCAAAATCAGTTCGCGACCACGTTCATAGGGGTCAGAGCGGATTAACCTTATTTACATTGAACTTTATGGGTAAATTTGATTCAGTTTGCAACCAATTCGGTTCGCGACCAGAATCATGGAACAAATTAAGTTCGTGAACCGAGGTATCACTGTACTTGACTCCTGTGTGCATGTTTGCCTTTTACAATGGCAGTACAGACAGGTGGTGGGAACAAAAAGTGTGACAGTTTCAGCTGGTGTTGCGCATCGCAGGACATCACTGTAAACTGCACCAAACCTTTCTTCAACCTAATCTCTTTTACATAAGCTGTATGTAAAAGGGGTGACACTTAGATAGTAAAGGTGGACAGAGCTTCATGGAGAAAAGCCTAACCCTTCCAAAATACTCTAGACCCATCAGCAAAACAGGACAATGCCTACCTTCCCTACCCTTCCCTTTAAAACCATATTGTATTCTTCAGCACTACAGGAACTGCAATTTCTAGCCAGCCCTGCAGTTCTGTTAACTGAGCACAGTGATTTCCTCCAACACTATTTTGTTACTTACCTTGGACGTCTTTGTGTAGGTTGTGTCCTATCTGGCTGGATGTGGCTTGCAGAGTTGTCCCATGCTGCTGGCCAAAGGATATCCAGACATTGGTTGGAACCCTGGTGGCGGAGAGAGGTATCTAGACTTCCTTCGTTTCGCTGTCTTTGTGAATGGTGAGTGTGACAAGGGATACTTTCAGTGTCAACAAAATTTAGTGCCCCATCAAAATTATCATTATTTGAAATGATAGCATGAAAAGTGTTCATAGTGCTCATTGTACTTCTGTGTTTGAACAAAGGCGAGAGCGTGGAGGAGAATGCCAATGTGGTGGTGCGTCTTCTGATCCGACGCCCGGAGTGTTTTGGTCCTGCCCTGAGAGGAGAGGGAGGTAATGGTCTATTGGGTGCCATTGAAGATGCTATCAAGATCTCTGAGGACCCTGCAAGAGATGGACCCACTGTCAAAAAGGACCGCCGCCGGGAGTTGTAAGTGAAAACCATTTTTAATATATGCAGAATATTATCCTCCAGTTTCATTTATACTTGTCTCTCTTTATCTACTCTGTTTATGGTGTTGAAATGTATCAAAGACATAGTGATTTTAGGTGAACACATAAAAGTAAACAGCTTGTTGGCATCCATATTAGTTTGTTACAAATACATGATACATTCCCTGCTTCCTTTAAAAGAATCATGTGCTGAGAAAAGTACTTTTAACTCTTTAAGTCCTAATCAGTAAAGATTTTTCATTGTAAAGTGCAAATTCTTCAGTACAGTAAGCTATAGTGTGCAACCAGAGAGCATCTTGTACTGGTCTCACTTCAATGTAGAGTTCTGCTGGTTAGCTGTGGGTCATTTCACTTAGGAATTAGAGCTTAAAGTGTATTTCCTTTTTGCAGTCAGATTTGATAAAACCCCTCTATATGTTTGTTATGTGTATCTATTTACAGTACACAGCATAATGAATAATAATAAAAAAAAAGTATTTCCTACCTTTTAGATGTTTTGTTGCAGCAGACAACATGGTTGATTTCAGGTTTTTCTCAGCACCTTCACGGTGCTCTGTCTTTACATAAAGCCTTAGGACTGAAATTTGAGGATTGTGTTTCTCTCGTTAACATACAATGCTGAAGCCCCTCACACCCCTTCATAACATTACCAAAGCAAGCAGAAATTATAACCATTAAAGGGACTAATTTTTTTTTACATATATCTACTGCTAGCAAGCAGTAGATACATGCAAAATCATTAAAAGAAAAAGTTACCAAATAGGTAAAAACTTACCTCCTGTCTCCAACGCTCGCTCCCTGCTGTAAAACTGTAACTTTTCAAGCGGATGAGCGGGGAGAGAGGGTTTATTGTCACTTTAAGAAGCCAATAAACCCTAACCTAAGTAAAAGCAATTTAAACGGCACAAAACATTTAAAAAAATATTTTTTAGCATATGCTGTGTGAACAGGAACGTGTCACATATATAAAATAGGTGTTATCCCAATTTGGTTGCAAACGTGGAAATACACTTTATAAATAATAATTTTTTTTACTGTATGTTTTGTAATTTACTCCTGTTTTATTTGCTAGGTATGGTGGTGAGGAACCACATGAAGAAAATCGGGTACACCTTGGTAATGCCATCATGTCTTTCTATGCGGCTCTCATTGACCTTCTGGGCCGCTGTGCCCCAGAGATGCATGTAAGTGAGAGGAGACCTCTTCCCTTTTATCTCTCCCCTTGTGTTTCTTTGTCTTTTCCTTGCAGGCTTGTTTACAATACTTAAAATGAATTTCTGCTTCTGTTCACTGTGGCTGTGTGGGGCACACACTCTGATTGGCTGCGGCCAGTCCATTCCAAAGCTGTGGTGAATAGGCTAAAATGGAGGGGTAAACAGCAGGTAGTGGGACCCAAAAAGCAGTGGAAAAATAGTATTTCAGCACTGCGAGGGGGGATTAGAACAGGTGCAGGTCCATGCACCACTGGACCTATAGTCATTTTTAGACTTTAGGTCCACTTTAAGGCTCGATGATGTGTAAGAGTCCTCCCTAGCTGCATCTACTGTATATCCACAAGCATTTAACCCAGAGCAGTTTATATGTCGTTTTCATCCCATATTTGGATTGACATTAAGGAAAATTAGTTTGACCTTCTCCGAAACACTGCCAATGTCAGATGTACACAATGCTCTGTATTAGCTAATTCTCTCATATTATTTTTATCTAACTGTCCTCTGTGCTATTGTGTTCTCCAGCTGATCCAAGCTGGCAAAGGGGAAGCTCTTCGGATAAGAGCCATCCTTCGTTCTTTGGTACCTATTGAGGATTTGGTGGGAGTTATTAGTCTTCCTCTTCAGATACCAGCATTTGGAAAAGGTAAGAGATACAGTCACTGGAATTACAGAACATTTTGTGAATTGTTATCCATATTAGAATCTGCACAAATGAGATGAGAGACTAAAGTTCTTGAAACCACTAAAGACTGCAGTAAATGTTCTGCTGGACATCTTCATTTTTACATTCTATTTTGTTTTCCGTTTTATCCAGATGGCAATACCATTGAGCCAAAAATGTCTGCCAGCTTTGCCCCAGACCACAAAGCTCCCATGGTGCTCTTCTTGGATCGTGTTTACGGCATTGACAATCAAGACTTCCTGCTACAGGTTCTAGAAGTTGGGTTCTTGCCGGACATGCGGGCTGCAGCCTCTCTGGATACGGTATGTTACTTTTCTGTCTCAGTGTAGTTATAGTCTAGTTGCCCTTCAGCTATTTCTTTGACTGTTGTGGCTTTGACTGCTTTTTTCTGGCTGATTTTAGTAAAGAATTCTAGGAAAATCTGTAATTGATAAAATCAATCTGATATTTCAAAGAAGCAACAACCTTCTCTGTGCAAAAACACTTTCTGGTTTCGTAGTCCAGATGGCTAAAACAGTCATTGAGATGCAGAAAAAATTGGAACCAGTGTGGCTCCCCCTCCTCCTCTGCACAACACTGCAGGCAGCTCTACTTAAGTCATATACAGTAGGCCTGACTTGAAGGAATCTCCCTTTCTTCCCCTATATGGCACTGTGCAACAAAGTGCATTCTTGGTGTCTAGTTCAATAGTTTTTTGGTGTTTCATATAAAGATATTTTAACAAGAGTAACATTTTTAGAGAAAGAAAGGAGTTCAGAGTTTACAGCAGACATTGATAAGACGAGAAAGTGATGATGTATAAAGGTTCAGGGTACTGTAGCGTTACACCTGAATACATAATGAAGACATTGTGATAAATAAGCACTGTGTGGGTCTAAGGAAAGTAGGAGGAGAAGAGAGCACAGAGTAGTGCAAGGGGAAGGGATTATGAGGAGTCCAAAGTCCTGTTGGCGTAGAACATTCACGGGAATGTTGCAGTTCAGTTTTAAGCACCAGTTCACAAAAAGGAACTTGTGGAACTGGAGATAGTGCAGAGAAGGGCAACTAAACTGATAAGAGGCATGGGGGAACTCAGCTACGAGGAAAGATTAGCTGAACTCAATTTGTTCTCTCTTGAGATGAGGCAATTAAGGGAGGACATGATCACCATGTACAATATAAATACATAAATGGTCCATATAGTGAGCTTAGTGCAAAATTGTGTCACTGCAAAGGACAAGGGGGCACTCTTTGCGTCTGCAGAAAAAAGAGGTTTAACGTTTGCATACGGAAGGACTCAATAGACTTGTGTCTTTTTTCAACCTGACTAACTATGTAACTATGTGACAGGGGGGTTCCTAAATCTATAAGGGAGTGATCAAAGTTGCTTTGAAAGAAGTGGATTATCTATGATTTCTTAATATTCTTAAATTTGGGCATGGTGTCCAAAAGGTTCTCTGTTAGTTTTTCATTGGAAAATATGCAAGGATTTCTGGATTTGACTTCAGCCAGTGTGAGAATATTAGATAGCCATGCTTTTGCTATAGTTTGCTAGTGGCCCTCCCAGAGAGAATTTTAAAGTATAGCTTTTTCCAACATTTTTATATTTTGGATAGAGAAGAGAATGGTTAATGCCCCCACTAGGGTTTTTTTTTGTTTTGTTTTTTACTTTGTTGTGGAGATTTGACTTCCTGTCCAAAAGATACAACAGTACGTGAAAGTAAATCTCTAAAAAGTAAGAAGAAATTCAGCTTTGGACGGTCTTCTCTGGAACAAATGTCCCTTGTTCTGTTAACAACTGTAAAATATTGTATTCCCAACATTTTGGTGATGACGGTCAGTAGAAGAAAGAGGGTAAATGTCCACAGCGGGGACACATACACCCAAAAGCGGTTCTAATCTTTCCCTACTCTATCCAATAAAAATAGAGTTTTGGCTATACATACTTTTTAATGTCAAAGTTTAGGAAGAGTATTTCCAAGTGTATTGAAAGAAAAGGCTCCATGTTGAATGATAGAGCATCCAGGTTACTGGCAGTTGTGAAAACTCTCTGAAAATTTGTTTTAAGGAAATTCACAGTAAAATTTACCCATATGCTTCCAGTTCATTTTCAGACTGGCAGCCAGAGACAGTGGTCAGGAATTTTAATTACTTTTTTTTTCCTGTTTTTTTTTTCTATCCTTTTCAAAAATAATTTTTGTTGTCCTTTATTTATTCATTAAATCTCAGGCTGCATTTAGTACCACTGAAATGGCCTTGGCTTTGAACCGATACCTTTGCTCTGCAGTCCTTCCTCTAATCACCAAATGTGCTCCTCTGTTTGCTGGTACTGAGCACCGTGCTATTATGGTGGACTCCATGTTGCATACCATTTACCGCCTGTCCCGTGGACGCTCTCTTACCAAGGCCCAGAGAGATGTTATTGAGGAATGTCTGATGGGACTTTGCAGGTATGGTGCTACTCTAACATTTAAACAAACATATATTTCATACATTAGTTCCCTCCCTGAGTAAGAAGTTTATCTTCTTTATTATGTGAAAACTGTTTTTTAATTAATTAAAAGTAAAAGCTTCTGTATTATGTTAGATAATTTTCTCAGCTCGCTGAAGATTTGTGAAACAGTAAAGGTGGCCAGAAATTCATTATCATAGCTGGTTAAAGCTCTTTAATATTCTGCCAAGAAAATGCATTTAAACCAGTGAAGTAATTGTCATAAAATGCACTGCCATTGTATAGAAGAACTAGTAAAGAATGTTCACTTGTAAGCCTCAGAATCTCATAGTGTAGTCTTATCTCTTAGGGATAGATGTGTGTGCTGTTACTTACTTGAATTCTGTCCCTCTCAGTTGAGACAAATAAACCCATTGCCAGGATATAAGACCAATTGGGTCACTGACTTTTCTTCTGCCTGAGCGCAAGACAAATAACTGAAACATTATGTAGACTGTAGCAGGGGTTAAAATGAGTTAAAAGCATTCAGTTTTCTTATTTTGCAAATTTGAAAGCATCTATTTTGTCATTATGGAGGAGGCAGGAGACAGACTGCCCTTAGAGTCTGATGTTCAGCCTGGTAATTCTTCCTTGAAGAGATTAAAATTAAAAAATAATGTAATCCCTGATAGGCAAGGCTGCACTATTACTACTGTTCAAGTTAGTGTACTTTTTCAAATATTCTTATTTCATCAACAGATATATGTGTTATATTTTGCTTATCATATTGCTTTTCTATTGCTAGATACCTCCGTCCTTCCATGCTACAGCATCTTTTGAGAAGGCTGGTCTTTGATGTGCCAATTCTGAATGAGTTTTCCAAAATGCCATTAAAGGTGAGGTCTCCAAAGCATTTCACTATGTTAGTTATGAAAAAAACAGCATTTTTTAGAGTTTATGAATATTAAATTGTAACGCAGCTTTCCAGAAAATGTGTATACAGTACATACCAATGAAGCATCTCTTACTTCTGCCAGTTCTACTCAACAACCATTAGGCCATTCATGATCCACCCAATGCATCATCCCAGATAGCAAGGATAACTTGCTACAAACTTGTGGCGGGGTGAAATTGTAATTTTGTTAACTTGCTGCACATATTCCTGGCAAGTTGTAGACTTGCAGAACACTCGCAGCACAAGTTCTAGTTGACACTTTTTGAATTTGTAGCAAATTTGCTTGGCAAGTCTACAGCAAGAGTCCTGCAGGTCTTAGCAAGAGCTCTGCAAGCTCGCCTGTCTGGAGACTTGCAATGCAGACTTGCTGTAATTGTGCAACAAAATTGTGAAGCTTGGCAAGTCTGCAATAGTTTAGCAAGTCATTTTCAAACTTGCAGCACAATGTCTTGCTATCTGGGATGACATGGTGGGTCAGCCTTTTAAATTCATGTAGCTGAAGGGCATCTATAGATGTCTTGCAAAAAAACATCTGGCAGTAACTTCCTTTCACCACCTGTGCTGGGCAGATGAGACATCAGTGATGGAAACCAACATTTGGCTAGTTGTGCCAGATCCCATCATGACCTCATCTTCCCATTTGACGCTTATTTAGTAAATGCTATTTGTAATATCTCCAGAGCAAAAGCAGATAGGAGACTGAAATAAAAACTACTAAAATTGGACGTATATGTAGTAGACCTAGAGAGTATTCTTTAAACAAACCGGACTTTCACGTTTAACCTACATTTATATATCCAGCCCATATCTCCAAGCCTAAATCTATTTTAAACAGGTTTAATTTTTTTAAGTTTGGGGAAGTGGGGCCAGTCCACTAATACTCGCAATCAAGACCACCTTTCTGGAAACCAGCTGGGTTCAAAATTAGCACACAATGTTTATATGAAAGGCTTAAAGGGAAATCTGGCAGGTGCAATCAAGTCTTGATTCATAGGCCTGTATACTTACTGTGGGTCATATGGTGATATTTTTTTTCTTTTTTCAGCTCCTTACTAATCACTATGAGCGATGCTGGAAATATTATTGTCTTCCAACTGGCTGGGCCAACTATGGTGTGTCATCAGAAGAAGAGCTTCACCTCACCAGGAAACTCTTCTGGGGCATATTTGAGTCTCTTGCTCACAAGGTAAAGTGACTTAAGTGTTTAAAGGCTTAATTTATGTTCAGCTGGTATATTCATAACAGAGTATATTCTATGCCATTCAGTGATTCAGCTCTCTAACTATTATTTCCCATTCCCCCCTCCACCATCAGCTCTTAACATTCCACCTTCTCTGTTCTTTAGACCCTCTTCTCTACCAGCTCCTATTCCCCTTCCACCATCAACGTCCATCCTCCCCCTTCCACCATCAGCACCCACTCCCTGCCACTTTGTACCACCATGGCACACTATATTAGAATAGAGCACGATTGCTAAGAATATATTAGCCGCTCCATGCAAAGCAAATCTGTATTAAAACTGACATCTCTCTGGGTCTAAATGAGCTTGTGGGATCGCCTCTGTGGTGTTTCCCTGTTGGGGGTAATCTAGACCAGCCCCAAATGTCGTCCTCTCTCTTGCCGCCATCTCAGCATTCACTGCAGCTCCCTTTGGATCAGGTGGGTCTCGATGATTGACTGCTTCACTCTTCTCACCTCCTCTGGTTTCTTTCCCCTCTGGAGCAATGCTGTCATGAACTTGACATGGGTTTTAGCCTCCCCCCATGTTACTAAAGAAAATTGTGTTTATTGCTCTCTGTGTTCCTGATGAAGAATTACCTTGTCTGGTAAAATTTGTCACAGGACAGCATTGATGATAAATTGCTGTAAAGGAGCCATGGATTGCAGTAAAAACTGGACAAGGGTTCAAACTCTTCACCACTGTATGTCCAGCCAAAGTTTTCAGCATATTTCATGCAAGAACATGATCTTGACTTGCCCTAAGAGTCCTAAAAGAGCAACAGAGAAACTTGAGCCCACTCCTAAAATTACTCTACTCATGATAGACACTATGTGCTAGTATAATTAAATATGCAGCTCTTTAGTGTTATTCTAAAACTTTTTTAGAAGGAATATTTATACTGACAAAAATTACTAAGCTACAGCAAGGGAGGTTATAGACATCAACTGTAAAGCTGGCCATACACATGTACATTTCTAGGAAATCTAACACATTCCTCCATCCAAGCTATAAACAGCCTCAATAGAGAATCTTCCCTGTCAGATTATTGTATATTTACAACTGTTTTGCTTATGGAGGCCAAATTCACATCTAGTGCACTTCAAAGTCAATTTCCATTTGATAATTCCACAGTATAATACGTTTTCATGTCTACTGTTGAGTCATATGGGTATATAGTAGGAAAATCTGAGTACCAAAGACTTAATATGCCACCAGAAGAGTGTTATACTTCAAGCTGATCTCCGGCCTTCCCTTCAGTCTTGTACAGTTGTACCGTCTCCTCACCTGGACTGAAATTGCTTACTCTGATTTTACTGCACTTCCTAATTTTCTCCCAGTATCAGAAGCTACAACATGTCTGATAGAGCCCACCTAATTTCCTGGCTGGAGGACATCCAACATCATGTAGTGCTTTCCTCCCCTGACTGTCCCTATCCCGCCCCTTTCATTCATTGGATTTTAGTTTTTTTCAGTCATAGAAGCTCAGCATCACATGCGGTTTTAATCTAGGGTGGTCTGCATGTAAATGCAGCCTACCAGGGAAAGCCTTCTCCTCTAGACTTACCTCTAGCCATCGAGGCATTTCAGTATTTGCATAACACCTCCCAAGAGACAGCCCATTGCTTGCATCAGGTCTCAAGGTACACAAAAAAAACAAGTTTTATTTAAGAATTTCATTAGCATGTTTATAAGGGGAGAAAGGAGGAATCAGGGAGAGCAAAATATAAGTAGATTATACTGCAGATTTAATACCTAGAACTAAAAACTTGATGTATGGGCCTTTTCCTCTTCCCCCAGTTTTACTGTAGTTCACCATTATTTCTAGCTTTTTGAAGATATTTGCAAGTTTTTTTTCCAAATTTTAAAAGCCACTTAACTGTTTTCTGTTAATCTTTGCTTGAAATGGTCAGTCTACTCAAATGTCCCATTGAGACTTGCCTTTACTTCCTGTCCTAAAGACACAACAGGAATTAAGAGGGAATCTCTGAGGGGAATTTCCTTCTTAGACAGTCACTGGAAGATGTCCCCTCACCTCTTGATCACTTTCTTTCCTGGAGTCACCTGGATAAATAGAAAGGATGAATCTACTCAGTGGAGACATTGGCAGTGATAAAAACCTGACATATGATTTAACCCTTCCCTACTCTATCCAAAACAAAATAAAAAATGTTTTGGATAAACATATACTTTAGGCCAGGGCTCAAAATTGCCAACTCCGACCCGCGAGCCGGTACTATGTGACCCGCAGCCAGCTGACATGTCAGGTCCACGATCTGCATCTGTGTTGGATGCAGACCGCAGAGCAGCTCCTGTCAGCTCTGGCTTCCTTCGGCTGGAGATCTGACAGTTCTGAGCTCCGGCCGAAAGAAAGGATGGATTGATCCCTGCTTATCTGGGGGTGACTAGTGAGCTCTTAAGTAAGGGGAGTATATTATTTTATGTGTATGGGGGGGCTTTTATTATTATATTTGTGCAAAGGGGTGTAACGTTGAGAAGTGTATTATTGTGTTTTAAGCTGCCCATACACGACTTTCGTTGTGGGAGGGTTGTATGGTCATTAAAATCTCGTACGATCTGCCCATCTTGGACAGGCAGATTGTACTTGCGATCATCGCAAGCCCTCCCCGCTGAGGGGAGGGCTTCCGATGATTGCAGTGCTGAGCGGGCACACAGGCCCATGCGGCATTTGTCTTTCGACCACGCCACCAACCCGCCAAAAACTACCTGATCCGGCTCCTGACTTTGACTAGTTTGTGATTTTTGCTTGCTCCTGTGGACACTGTTCTTAATAAATATTTTAACTAGCATCTTATGCTTGTCTGGTTTTCAATGTGCTCTGACATCCTCTTTAAAACAAAACTACTGTATAACCAGGTCACTACATGTTTAGCCTTTGTATTGACATTTTATTGTTAAGATAATTGTACAAGTATAATATAAGGTCGTACAGACTTGGGTACTAATGTATCCTCTGATCTTAATAAAGGCAGTATTCAAAACTAACTCCTCAGACACCGGCGTTCATTTACTGAGACTGTACAGCAACAATGTGAAAGTTTAGTGAGCTTAATAATTAGGAGGAAGCTGTGTTCACCTACAAAACCCAACATGTACAAGGGAAATGGTACTGGCACATGACTGGATGATTGAATGGTACTGGCACATGACTGGATGATTGAATGGTACTGGCACATGACTGGATGATTGAATGGTACTGGCACATAAATGGATGATTGGTACTGGCACACTGTTGGATGATGGAATGGTAATGGCCTATAATTGGATGATTGAATGGTACTGGCACATGACTGGATGATTGAATGGTACTGGCACATGACTGGATGATTGAATGGTACTGGCACATGACTGGATGATTGAATGGTACTGGCACATGACTGGATGATTGAATGGTACTGGCACATAACTGAATGATTGATACTAGCACACAATTGGATGATGGAATGGTACTGGCCTATAATTGGATGATTGAATGGTACTGGCACATGACTGGATGTTTGAATGGTACTAGCACATGATTGGATAATTGAATGGTACTAGCACATGATTGGATGATTGAATAGTACTGGTACCTGATTGGATAATTTAAGTAAACATAATTCACCTTATTCACTTTGCTAAGTAAATGGACTATGTTCCTTTAGTGATGTAACACCACTGTTTCAGCTGAAGATTTAAAAAAAAATAAAAAAAAATCAGGTAACACAAATTAATTGGCAAGCAATTTTGAGAATTTTAACCATGATTGCATCATTGTGCTTTTTAATGACATTATTTTTTCTTACACATAAAGACCATCATATGGTTTTCTATTATTTTAATCCTTCAAAATTATTTTTGCAGAGATTTGATGCGGAGATCTATAAGATCACAATGCCATGCTTGTGTGCCATTGCGGGAGCCATCCCACCTGACTATGTGGATGCCAGCTACTCCTCCAAGACTGACAAGAAGGCTTCTGTGGATGCTGAAGGCAACTTTGATCCCAAGCCAGTAGAGACACTGAAGTAAGATGATCCTTGGTCTGAAAAAGTTGTTCTGAGTAGCAGAGGCTATAAGGGGCTGTTTAGGAATCCGTTTTAGATGATGCCATAGTTTATGGTGTCAGGTGGTTAATAGTTTAGTAATAGGTGGGTATTCCTAAATTATATGGTCTATTGTGACACATCTTAACATTGTTCAGCATCAGCTTCCTTTGCAGCTCTAGGCATTCTGTCCCATGATATCTCAGAACCAAAAAGCAAGTCGATGCTGATCACAGGTCTGAACAGGATAGCTATATAACTTCCAGCATTTGTCACTGAGTGGGGGTACCCCGCAAAAATTTTTTCTGAAAGGTGAAGTATCTCTACTGCAAACTACTAGCCCGACCTGCCTGCCCCCTGGTGAGCAACCTGCTCTCTTGCTCACTAGCCCAGTCCTCCCCTTTATGTTTAACATAAGCATGACCAAGAATCCAGTGTGACCTAAAATTGCAGCACCTTCTGTAGAATACTCTTCTGGTTTATACCTATCGTTCCAGTTTCCAGCATGTGTCACTGAATGTGGATACCACTCTAAGTAATGTCTGAATGGTGAACAATCTCTATTGAGAACTACTAGCCCAACATGCCCCCTTGCTCACCAGCCTAGTTCTCCCCTTATGCTCTATATAAGCATGGCCAATTATATAACTGAATGTAGTGCGACATATAATTGTGGCACCTTCTACAAAATGTGTACTCTGCTGGTTTACATTAATCTTCCCAGTTTCTCTCCAGCATATCACTTGCTATATTTCAGGTATAATGATATCACTTCTCTTTTGCAGTGTGATCATCCCTGAAAAGTTGGATGGCTTCATCAACAAGTATGCAGAGTACACCCACGACAAATGGGCATTTGAAAAGGTACGAAAATATTTGTTATTGCCAGATGAAGGCCTTTCTACTACGAAATCTAAATTCCTTACTCCCTAACTGGTTGTGCTGATTATATTTGTACAATCTTGCGGTATCCGTAAAATCCAGCTTTATTGTTATACATTCCAAATAGGATTGAAGATCAAGCATGTATAGCAAATACACCACCATGGCATCTCTCCCACTCCAACGTATGGGCTTAATCATCTCTATGATTAGGCCCAGGTGGTGAAATGCGTGAGATGCGTTGGAGTGGGAAAGGTGCCATGGTGGTGTATTTCCTATACATGCTTGATCTTCAATCCTATTTGGAACTTATTACAACAAAGCTGGATTTTACGGATACCGGTTTCGTGCGGCTGATTTTACAAATATTGCCAAAGGAGTGGGAGTACATTGTAGCCTGCACCCGGTCTGTATATGGACTGACAGTCGGAGGTGGAATTTGAGCGGTGAGTCCTGGTGTCTTACAGTTGTGCTGATTAGTTTTAGTTGTCTGTAGAAGAAACAATGCTGTAGACTTGTGATGACCTTCATCTACATCTTCTTGTGTTTCTTGTCATGTTTTTATTGATGGCTTCTTATCTAAATGAAGAAAATGGAAACATATTCATAGCAGGAGCTTTTAGGTCAATGCTGTAAAATGATAATAAATTATGAAGTACTGTCATTCTAAAAAAAACCCTGCCCTTTGCCCCCTTTACCATGATACAGATACAAAATAATTGGTCCTATGGGGAAACAATTGACGAGGAGGCAAAAACCCATCCAATGCTACGGCCATACAAAACCTTCTCTGAAAAGGTAACTTCTATCCAATGCTGAATACATTTATTGGGTGATGATGGACTTTTTTTGATCTATTTTAAATAAATGTTATTATGTGCAAAGCGACGAACAATCTTACACTTGCTGTTCTGTTGTTCTCGTGTTGTTCTTTTGCAGGACAAGGAAATCTATCGCTGGCCAATCAAAGAGTCTCTGAAAGCTATGATCGCTTGGGAGTGGATGGTAGAGAAAGCCAGAGAAGGCGAGGAAGAAAGAATTGAAAAGAAGACAAAATCCAGGAAAATCTCCCAGTCAGCCCAGGTTGAAACGTCTTTATTTTGTGACTAAAGTCTTGATATCCTTTTATTTCCTACAGTATGTCTCTTTATCTTTTCTATATGTATTTACTTCTAATCCTTCCATAATATATTTAATTATTTTTTTCAGGCAACCTATGATCCCTCAGTACAGACCTTTAGTCCAACTCCTATCGATGTGTCTGGAATCACTCTGTCCAGAGACCTGCAGGTAATGGCTTAATATGCACATATTACAATTTTGTTGCAGTCATACCAGTTTCTGATATGCCTAGGAGCATCTAAATGCAGATGCTGTCAGATAAATGCAACTGGTGGTACAAAGCCATTAAGAAGATGTAGAATTGTAGTTCATAGAAGTCATAAAAGTGTATTGCTACATGTCCTGCAGAACCAAATGCAAAGAGTAAAAAATAATCGATTAAAGCAGTGAGCCATTGGGGTTGATTTACTATGGCCGAATAGGCTGCTCACTTTGCAAGGGAATTTTCATTTTGGAAGGATACTTTCCCTTAGCTGTAAATGTGGTGAACATTCACTTTGCAAAGAATACCCAATTGTGTGCAAGGAAAATTAAAAAGACTGTATTTTGCCTTGCACTTAATAGAATATTGGTAGTCATCAGAGCTTCAGCACATTCACTAAGCTATGGGTAAATTCCCTTACCAAATGAACAGCCTATTTTGTCTTAAGTGAATCAACCCCATTGCCTATTTTTTATGTCTGATCCATATACTAGGGCAGTTGATTTAAACTGATGGCAGTGATGTCAGTGCTTGCCTTGTTAGTCTGAGCAATTTTCAGAGCTGCCCACTCTTATAACAATCAGCGTCTTCATTGCTGCTCGCTATTGCATGCAAACCTTGTGAAATAAGAGATTGCTGTTGATAGTGATGCTATCAAGGATGGAGGTCTCCCACTAGATTCCTCTATATGTATGTGATTTGCATACAATACATTGATTTAAGCTGCTATAAATGATAGACATACTGTATATAGATTTGGTGATATTTGTTATTGTTCTCCTTGTCCCCATGAATGTGAATGATATTTGTTCTAGAGGGAAACCTCCATCCTTGATATTATTTATACAGTATATCCAACATCAATGGGGACTGGATTTGAAGGTATGAAGGTATTCCTTTTTTTGCCTTAGAAGGTTTCTCCAATATAGTCAATGTTGATAGTGATTCTATTTTGCCTGGCCTGTATATAGCCGGTAATTCAAATAATGAGTTGATTATACATCTGGCCAGCGCACTGCATTTACTGTATGTGTGAGCTAGTTAGAATGAGTGGCAAGCCCTAAACATCTTCATTCAGGCAACTGTATTTCTACAATTAAAAGCCATCTCTCCCCAAAACGGATCATTCATTTTGAGTGGCATGAATCACCCACCACTTTCTTCTGTCCACTGGTGAGATTTTCTGCAGACGTTATCGTGACTTCTCAATGTAGAAATGAATGAAGGTGACAAAACAGCATAATTCTTCATTCTGTTAAAACCAACCATCAATAAACCTACTGTATAACATGGAGAATCCCTGGGGGAGAGATACCATCATGTAGCTGTGGAATTAATGCATCAGTCTTTGAATTCTGGTGGGGATATCTTTCCTGTAGTGATAAAAGAGACGTGGTTTAGTGTGTCGGCATCTGTGGAAAGATCAGCATCTTGAAGTTATGTAAGCCATATTTTGCATTCTTTCTCCTACAACAGTTAATGGCTGAGCAGCTGGCTGAGAATTATCACAACACTTGGGGTCGTAAGAAGAAGCTGGAGCTCGAGACAAAAGGTAAGAGCCCAATCCATGTAAAAATCACCCCTTTCTCTATTCTTGTGGAAGGCAATAATTGCCAGGGGTGCAAAAAAAACGGTATACCATCAGTTAGTACAGTTTAATAGCCAGCAAACACTTCTAAAGTGAACAGCTGAGTTTTGTAACTTTAGTCAAGCATTACAGTAATGCAAAGCATGTCCTGTGCAGGTAATTGCATGTACTAGTGAATGCATTGTTGAGCACTCTGGGAACCCCAAAAGCTATGGCTCTCTGACATACAGATATCTAAGCCGAAGTTTAGCCCACTCCCTCCAATCTGTTGTCTAGTTATTGGTTATTAAGAATGATTAGTGTATTCAATAAAATGCTGTTTGGTGCCTTTGTGATTTGGTTCTTGGAATTTTTTGATTCATGTTTATTGCATCCAGTGCTTATGGTTTGTATTAGCAGTTTAAATGATGTGCTGTACACTTATTTATATACTCTTCTTTTGTATTACATTATCACAGGTGGAGGAACTCACCCATTGCTAGTACCCTATGACACTTTGACTGCCAAAGAGAAGGCTCGTGACAGGGAAAAGGCACAGGAGCTGCTGAAGTTTCTCCAGCTCCATGGTTATGCTGTGACAAGGTCTGTAACATGGACACGTCATAAAAAATATTTATCAAGCAAAGAAAAAAAAATATGAGTAATTAAAGGGTAAAGTCCCTAAAAGTGATCTCTGAGAGATAGTTACCATAGATGATCCAATCATCTAGTTTCTATTTTTCCATAGACTTTGATGTAAACAGTTGTAGACTACAAAAGGTAATTTACCAATGCAATAGGAGCAAGATAATAAAAGCTGTTAAAGTGGAATATTGGGACAATATGTACTGACAAAACATCCCAATTTATTTTATTACAGAGGATTGAAGGACATGGAGCTTGACACTTCATCCATTGAGAAACGCTTTGCTTATGGATTCCTTCAGAAACTGCTGAAGCTAATGGATTCAGCGCAGGAGTTCATTGCTCACTTAGGTATGAGGATTTTATTTTCAGGGCCAAGGTATATATCACCAAACAAAGGAGGGATGTATGCAATACGTAAAATATTTATCTTGCTTCTGGTGTCACAAATGTCTCTAGCTTGGTCATTCTTGCCTTTTTGACGCCACCAATAGCTTTTAGTTTAAAGTGTCTGGTTCTCTATTTTAAGAAGAACCTTTGATTTTTGTCCAAGAAATAATTAACTTAAGATACAAGTATCCTTTACCTAAAGAAAACCTGTGAGTTGCCCATTTTTGCTTTAAAGTGTATTTCCACTTTTGCAGTCAAATTTGAGAAAACCCCTCAATATGTTCATTGTGTTTTCCCATTCCCACAGCATTCTGAAAAATAAGTGACTTATCTTAATGGGAAGACTAAAATTTGTGGATTGTGTTTATCTGATAAGCTTCATTAACATACAGTGGACAAACCACCTCACACCCCTCACAGCCCCTCCTAACATTTCAAAGTAATAGAAGCAAGAAGAAATTTTAACCCTTAAAACCCTAACCCAAGTAGAAGCAATTTAAACTGAAAGCAGCATTGAAATAGGTGAAACATTATTAATTCATCAGAATAACAACATATCTCAACTGCTTTACCTTTTATTTTGTTGATATTTATAACAGATCTAAGCTTATCCTTATTGTTATAGGTGTAATCTTCTGAGCAGTGACCTGTGCTGCGCCCATAGCAGGAAGCCTCTAGGTGTAATCATACTCTAAACTTATGTACTCTTTTGGGTTTTTAGAGGCCGTTGTAAGCAGTGGAAGGGTGGAGAAGTCTCCACATGAACGGGAAATCAAATTCTTTGCCAAGGTGAGATTGTGCCTTATGTCCTGTATTCTTTCTACTACAGGGAGCCATGCTATGGATTCTGACAAAGTAATTATAGTAAAATAATTGGTTCTAGAAGACTCAATACATTGTTTAAAAAAATGATTGGATTCATTTTTAAAAGCACAAATATAAAGGGCTACTAATATTTGGAGTTTTGAGAGTACATGGCTTTGCTTTTTTTTAGTTCTTGAACTACCGTGTTTCTCCGAAAATAAGATCTACCCCGAAAATAAGACCTAGTAGTATTTTTGGGAATTGCTAAAATATAAAACCTACCCCGAAAATAAGACCTAGTTATAACCATTCCTAAGGCCGGTGTTGGCATAAGGGGGAACTTGAAGAGCCGCGGGAGAGAATCAGCGGTGCCAACTAAGCCAGCACTAGAGGAAGCGAGGCGGCAGTGCAGGGAGCAGAGCCGCATAAGCCGATGCTTCCTCTATAGCCCTGACTCCTGTCACAGGCGGAGTGGTAACAAATGCACTCCGCCTGTGAGGAATCGATAGTGAAACGCGCTTCGCTCATTCTGGCCAGCGATTGGTTACCAAATTGCTCTTGGTAAGGTAGGCACCCCTGATTGCCCTGATCACCCTATTCTTAACTTTGCTATTTTTGATTATTTAATTTGGATTTGCATTAACTTTGAATTGTTGTACATTAAAAAAAAAATAAGACCTACCCCGAAAATAAGACCTAGTGTGTTTTTTTGAGCCAAAAAAATATAAGATAGTGTCTTATTTTCGGGGAAACACGGTAGGTGGACATTTTTGCAATTTGGATCTTGGCCAAACATGTGCACTGTTACTGCAAATAATTTTTTTTGCCATGTGTTGTTCAATTGTTCATCCCCCTAATTGAGCTAACTTTGTTAATGGGCTAAATCCACGGACGTTTCTCTTCCCCCATAGATTCTTCTTCCGCTGATCAACCAATACTTCATGAACCACTGTCTCTACTTCTTGTCGACACCAGCCAAAGTCCTAGGCAGCGGCGGTCATGCTTCCAACAAGGAGAAAGAGATGATTGCCAGGTCAGTGCATAGCGTTTTTACAACTAAGGTCAAAATGGTGAATATATCAAATAAAGCATAATCAAGATGGTATTTAAAATAGCTTTTAATAAACTTTCATAGTACTGTGTAAACCAAGAATAGAATAAACAACTACATAAGGAAGGATGAGCACATTGCACCTGCTTCATGAGTTTTAATGTGCTGGTATTTAGGGGCATAAGTTAAGATGACCAGACACCTTAATCTCCCTCATCCATACTAAAGATCTCCCCTGTCGGCTTTTGTATGCTGACAGCCAGTGCCCCAAACTGTCTGAAAACCCGATCAGTGATTGCAGCTGACTGGCTGCAGCCACTATTCAGTTGACAATTTTCCACCTTGCTTGACAAAAGTCGCATGACCATCTTAGTGCCTGGGTCATGTTTAAGGGTTTGATTGAGAGTTAAAGTATCTAAAACTAAACTTTGCATTTTAGTTTTGGACAGAGAAGGTAGTGATTAAGCCACTGTTATTTTTATTACTATTAATTAATTTATTTTTGCTTTTTGTGTCTGATTGGAGAGGTAGACCCTCATATCCTGTTCCATTGACACAACAGGAAGTAAGAGAAAATCTTGCCAAAAAAGGGGAAATCCCTTCTTAGTTGTCACTAGAACAAATATCCCTTTTGAAAGATTTCTCTCTATATCAGTGAATCTCCCCATCAGGAACACAAACAGCAATAAAAACCTGAAAGTGGTTCTAACCTCTCATCACTCTATACAAATCTAAAAATGAAAGCTTTGACTTTAGAAACACATTTAGTTTGGGGTGAAGGATAGGGGTATGTGTTAGTTATGAGTTAGGTTAAAAAATATACAAAATTGTTTTTTTTTAATTGCATGATCTTGAGTCACAACCACAAATATTAAATTGGGTTCTCTGGAAGAGTCGGCTTGGCGTGTCACTAAGATGCGCATTTGCTGGAAGTTTCCTCTTGATTCACTGAAATTCTCTATTCTAATTCTCTTTCGCTATCTCTTTGTTTCCCTTGTATCTGTCTTTCTTACTCTCTTTAGCCTGTTCTGTAAGGTGGCTGCTCTTGTTCGACACCGCGTGTCTTTATTCGGTAAGCCGGTTTGTTGCTGTTCACACTCCCTCATTCCTTTACATTTTAGAGCATGAAATAGTAAAAGCGCCAGACCTTCTATGTGTTTTTTTTATCTGGAATGGTGATGCGAATTGTGGCTTGAAAGGGGGGGAGAATTGATTTCAAGATTTTTTTAATCTTCTTTCTAAATTAACTTTTGCCATGTTTCCCCAGGAAATGATGCTCCTGCAGTGGTTAATTGTCTACATATCTTGGCTCGCTCTCTGGATGCCAGGTAAATACATACATGTTACAATCTTCATGTTTGAAGAATTTCTGGTGCCTGCAGTAACAAGTCAACTGTCTTACACATCATTACATATGCGCTGTTCAGTGCTGTGAGTAGTACTGTGAGTCCAAGCAAGAGTGGTGAAGCACCTCTAGAGGATGTATCCATGGCTCAAAGAAAGTGAGTTGAGTGACCCTGGCCATCATTCAACCTGAGAGCTATCTGGTGGAGATGAGGACCTTTCGCAATGTTCAGTGAAGGATTGTATTGTAGCAAAAGATGCTTTTTTTTTTACTTACTCCTCCCAAAGTTCCTATTAAGATGGCAGAACAATAATCCATAGCTCTCTCTAGAAAACCAGCACCTCTTCCTGTGGGTTTAGGTTTAATCCGTTTCCATCAAACACTCATTTCTAAGGCTATTGATATCTTCAGTAAAACAAAGGTAGTGACGCTCTCTCTCCTCTTGACAGGACAGTCATGAAGTCTGGCCCAGAAATCGTAAAAGCTGGATTGCGTTCCTTCTTTGAGGGGGCATCTGAAGACATAGAGAAGATGGTTGAGAACCTAAAGCTGGGGAAAGTATCTCAATCCAGCACTCAGGTCAAGGGTGTGGCCCAGAATATCAATTACACCACTGTGGCTCTGTTGCCAGTTCTTACGTCGCTCTTCGAGCACATTGCACAGCACCAGTTTGGAGATGATGTCATATGTAAGTTGGGGCTTTCCAAAGTGAGAATAAAGATAAATAAATATTTTTTTAGAATTCATAAAGAACTTAAGAATTTGTACACAGTTGTAAAGGTACTACATACTGTACTTCGCCTTCCAAATACAACCTTATATCTTACTCACTCACGACTGCTTTGAACATGAGCAAAACACACAATTTAAAAAAAAAATTTTTAACCATAGTTTTTTATTCAAGGTTTTACATAATACAGGTAATGGTAACAGCAGTCGTAAGACTCGTACAGGGTAACAAAACAAAAGTTACTATAGAGACAACACGGCCATAGCCCTATTAAAAGGCAAAGGTACAGCATAGTAATGATAAACACAAAAAACGGGCTAATCAGTTCTTAACCATTACAGCATAAGGCAGTTAAGGCACGTATCGTAAGATCGAGTTAATATAGCACATTATGTGTAATTGGCAAACAGGACTGCGATGGCAGAGGTGTCTATAAATGCCTCATAACCTTGGGGGACAGGAGGGAGGATATAACATGTCAAAGGGGAGGGGGATAACGTGTGATATATTACAGTAGAACAAATCTTGGCACTGCAAAATGCAATGATACATATACTACATATTTATAGCAGTGTTAGGGTATAAGTCTAAAGTAGAGACTTTAGGGCTGAGAGAACGTAAACATATGTGGAGGGGCGAACATCAAGAGAAGATGCGTTTGCACCTATAGTAAGGGGTGACCATAAATATGGCTGTTAAGAGTAGTTCCATGTCACCAGTCTAGAATTGCATCGGCCGTCAGTCAGCCAGCAATCCCAGTCTGCAGTGAATTTATGCTCCTTGAGGTGAGCTCTGGCAAACAGATGTTCAAAATGAGAGTGAGTGTTAAAACTCACAAATTTAAATAGCAGCTCCCACATAGGCACTGTACATGAATAGCTTTCATATCCCCTTTCATGATAACTAGCTAAGATGTGTATGTTAATGGCTCCGTACCAACATTTTGTTTTTGTCTCTTTTCCTTCCAGTGGATGATGTACAAGTCTCCTGCTACAGAACACTGTGCAGCATCTACTCTCTGGGTACCACTAAGAACCCCTACGTTGAAAAGTAAGAGGAAAACTATTTCGAACCACTACTGGCTGTATGTTGATTCACCCACATGTATGGACTGTCTATGTATAAAAATATATTCTCACAAAGCTTCTTACCCACTTATTTTTAGGCAACGTCCAGCTTTGGGTGAATGTTTGGCACGACTTGCTGCTGCCATGCCTGTAGCCTTCCTGGAACCCCACCTAAATGAATACAACATCTACTCTGTCTACACCACCAAGTCTCCTCGTGAACGTGCCAGTGAGTATGAGGATTAGGTAGTTGTGAAAATCAGCTGGTATTTTGGTTACAGATGGATGCTGGCAGGTTGAATCTTCCACTGCCTTCTTTTGTTCTTGAAGCATCTAAATTAAGCTCCAACTTTTTCCAGCTTCTCCACTGAACCAATCTTCTTCTGCCACATTATAATGTAAAATAAATGCATGTATCCTAAACCCAGCTTTTTGGCTTTGGCTTCTTGCCAATTTGTGATTAAGCCCCGAAAAAAGGAGCTACACTTTGTCCCATTACTTAACTATCAAATGGCATCTCTGGAATTAGGTGGGGTTTATTATCCAAGGGATGTCCAATCTTGACCTGGAGAGAACTTGAGTATCACGTACCTAAGGCTGAGACTGGAAGATGGGGAGGCGCCTCTTGCGGTTCGCGTCCTGCGACCCCTGGAGTTTGGAACAGAAGGGCGCAGGGCAACGAGGAGCACGAGTGCCGAAGACTGGAAACGAACACTGCGTGGGAGCAGCTGAGAAGAGAGGTCAGGAAGCCAAGGTCAAATCCGGTCGGGCAGGCAAGGTACAAAATCGTAAGGCAATCTCAAGGTCCAGGAAACAGGCCGGGGTCAAGGGCTGGCAGCAAGCAAGAGAGTAGTCCAGGGCAATCCAAGTCAGAGGCAGGCTTTAAACAATACAGGAACACAGGATACAACACATCAAGCTGACAAGACCATCAGCAATGAAAGAGAGGCTGACTCCTCCTTAAATAGTCCCAGGATACTGACAGCTACCTCACTTCCTGTGTGTTTTCCCGCACATTTTGCCGCCATTCCCGCGCATGCGCCGTTTGCCGCGATTTCTCGCGCATGCGCCGTTTGCCGCGATTTCTCGCGCATGCGCAGTTTGCCGCGATTTCTCGCGCATGCGCAGTTTGCCGCGATTCATGCGGTTAACAACCGTGCCTTTACATTGAGTTTGAATTAAGGGTCTAATGGTCTTAATAGTACACAGATAACTATTTTAAGGCGAACACAGGTACATGCACCACAATGCGTCTATAGTATAGCGCTCCTGTTAACTTTTTGGCTAGGTCCACTTTATGCAAATTATGCTTCCTATAATCCCTTAATAAAAAAAACAATATGTCTGGAACTGTACAATCAATTGTCATTTTAACTTTTTTTCCCTCCAGTTTTGGGTCTCCCCAACTCTGTAGAAGAAATGTGCCCAGATATCCCTGACCTGCAAACCCTGACGAAAGAAATCAGCTTGCTAGCAGAGTCTGGTGCTCGTTACACAGAGATGCCACATGTCATTGAAGTGACTTTGCCCATGCTGTGCAATTATCTTCCTCGTTGGTGGGAACGAGGGCCAGAGAATATGCCAGATGAAACCACATTGTGCTGCACCAGTGTAACCTCTGAGCATCTGAATGCCCTTCTGGGCAACATCCTGCGTATCGTTGTCAACAATCTGGGCATAGATGAGGCCTCCTGGATGAAAAGACTTGCAGGTAACCTTTAGGACTTTACAGACACTGTAAAGAAACAAATTATGACCAAGTCATAACCAAGTGGCTATGACAAATGATTTTATAAATGCCTGCATTGCTCATGCGCTACAGATTTAAATTAAACAAAAAGTGATATAGCTTTTATCTATCATTATGTGTTAATCATCTGTGACTAGATTTCTAGTTTTATCTGCTGTGGAATATATCCTCTTACTGGACCTTTGTTGGCATTCGTTTTTTTTTGGGGGGTGGGGTCAGACATTTACTAAAGCCCGCCCCCTTCCTTGTCTGTCCCTCCAATGAGCACAGGAGGAACGGAGAGGGGCAGGGGGAATCCCTGCAGGGAGCAGTGACTGACAGAGGCCACTCTCTGCAAGGAGAAGATCGTGAACTAAGCGATCAATGGTTTGTGATCGCTCAGTTCTCAATCTATAGAGCTGACATGTGACAGCTGCAGTGTCACCCGTCAGCTCTAACTATGGGGATGAGTGCATTTCACTCTCCCCATAGTTCTCTCCTAAAGTTTAGGTCAGCCTGGACTGTTTGTAGACTCCCCTATATATAAATTATGAGTATGTTCTGGCTCATTCTCCAGAGGTTTTTGATTTGGAGGCTTCTGATAACCACTGATCATTAGCATCATGAAAAGCCTGACTGTAGACCCGAGAATTCATAAAACATAATATATAAATAAATAGTATATTATAACCTGCAAAAAAAAAGATCCAGGTTAATCACAGAAGGCACCTCCTAAATCTCATATGCAAATTTATCAAGCCAAGTTCACATATGATTCCAATTCATAATTCACCCATCAATATAGTCGGGAATTTAATGGATCCTTAGTATACCTATTGTAGATACTTGCTTTATATTCTCCAGATCTAAATTTAAAAATATTAGTAATAGAAACCACAATGACATTGAAAAAAAAATGACATGGCCATCCATCAAAGGTTTAGTAACTTAAAGCTCAATTTAGCTATATCTCAGTGCATCATCATAACATATACCCAGTTAATAGTTGCTTAAATCATTGCAAAATCCCCCCCAACATCATGTATCAAATAATCTTGGAGAAATAAATGATGTATTTTTCAGTGATATCATGTTTCACACCTTCAGACCTACAGAGTCTTCAGATTATTACATATTATATATATTTTTTCTTCTTCAACAGTATTTGCCCAGCCCATTGTCAGCAAGGCCAAGCCAGAGCTCCTTCGGTCTCACTTTATTCCAACCATGGAGAAGCTGAAGAAACGGGCAGGGAAAGTGGTGGCTGAGGAAGAGCTGCTGCGTCTGGAGGTGAAGAGTGAGTCTGAAGATTCCGAATCTCTGATACGAGATGAGTTCTCTGTCCTCTGCAGAGACCTCTATGCTCTTTATCCTCTGCTGATCCGCTACGTAGACAATAACAGGTACAGTCATATAAGGAAAGCACAAGAACTTTGACTGGTAGAGGAAGTGGATTTTTACTCAGCTTTTATAAAAATATGTATATATTTATTGAGAAATACACCATATGAAAATTATATAGTTTGTAAATGATGTTTTGGAACATTTATTTAGATGCTTTTAAAGAGGGCCTGAACTCTAGAAGCTGTGCCCAAAAAGGCAAGTAACTAATCACAGCATTGCCTGTGGTCTCCCTGCAGCTGATCTGTTCCATATTACTGACTGACCATGCCTTGTTCTACACTGAGTGTCTTTTGTGGAGGTAGCCATCTTGGTAGATGCAGGAATTTGCTTCCTCAAATCAGAGCTGCCCCCTGATGACTTGTAATACACTAGCCATTCATTACAAATCTCGTCAACAAAATCAAAAGATGCCTTCAGAGACTTGTAGAGTGCCTTTTCGAAATGTTGTTTATTATAACTTTTGATTTTGGATACAAATGGAGTTTCTTGAACGATAATTACAACGAAAAACACAACCACATACTCTTTGCGAAATTTGGTAGTGCCCTCTTGGCTCCTCACTGCCATGTTACTGCATTTACCAAGCCAAGAAAACATGTTTAGCTTTTCCTGTTGCATTTGCTGTAATGTAAGTTGATAGTGGGATCACTTAATGACTGTAGTGACTGGTGGACAGAACTAGGAACCCAGTTGCAGAACTTTTGCTGCATGATTTTCCAGAGAAGATAACAAGCATTGCATTCATTCTGTTATTTTTTTATTTCGAGAGTATTAAAATCTCAGTGTTCCATATCCTGTTCATAAATAATTCCTATGGCACAGCTTGAGAAATTAAAAAAAAAAATTCAATTTTTGCAGAGCAAACTGGCTGACAGAGCCTAATAGTGATGCAGAAGAATTGTTCCGAATGGTTGGGGAGGTGTTCATCTTCTGGTCGAAATCCCATGTAAGTTCTAAAGGCCTGTATAAAGTGTGAACTCCTATGACTGAATATCTGACAAATTCTACACCTGCTGTCTAATCTCATGCAGAGTAATGGTTTTGATCTTGGAATGCATTGCATTCCAAGGATCTGGCAATGCAATCTCTTTTACTCTACATTTGTAAATAAATCTTTGTAAAACTTTTACTACATTTTAAATAAATCTTTGTAAAACTTTTACTACATTTTGGAGATTCTGGTCTCCTAAGAGACTATTTTGCGTGTGATAAAGGAAGTAAACTCAGTGGGGTTGATGTACCAAAGAGATGGGGATGTCCAGCTAGCAAAGTGAATGTTACTGAATAATATGATACTGTTTTCACTTTAAATACCCTATCAGGTATTCAAAGTTAAACCAGATTTACCCAATTTACTAACATTTACTTTCCAAAGTGAGCATTGACTTTGATAGGTTATGACCTTTTCTCTTTCAGTAAATCAGTCATATGGCCTTTTGCCAGTTATTCATGACAATGTGTGGAGAAATGTTCTCAAGTACATCTGTTTGTATTTTAGAGATGGTACTTTCAAAGGTAACCTGGCATGTAAATTAAATAAATATTTATAGGGCACTAGTTCCTAGATTATTTTCATATTCAGTGATAAATGAGAATGCAGTGAACTTTGAGAACATTTCTACAGCCGTATTTCTAAACCCCTAAAATAACTCCACTAGGTTACATTTTCACAGTTTTTCTCAGTTAGAATAGCTTTAGCAGTTACTGAGCCAGTGACAATAACCAAGATATAGGTCTAAGACGAAGTGGACACCTCCACTACAAAGCCAAAAACAAGGTTTGCTAACTAATAAAGGATTATTTGAACCATCAAACCATTTGAATGCCCTTATGGTCAACTGAGCATTGAGAATGGCCCATGTACAGCACATTGGAACAACATGCTCAGCTTGCAAACAGCTATATCTTTCCAAAGCAATCTCATTGGCTTAATATGGATCTTTGACTTCTGTGGTGTAGCTCTTGTGGAATAACAATTAATGTTTGCTTGAAGAAATTGGTTTCCTTCACAATAACTATAGTTAATAGCTTTTGCTTCTTCTTAGCCCATTAGCTGATTGGTCTTCCTCTGGGCAGAATCTGATGCCGAACAGATGGTAAGCACATTGATTCCCAGGGTAACGTTGTGATTTTTCTTCATTTTTCTTTATTAGAACTTTAAGCGGGAGGAGCAGAACTTTGTAGTTCAAAATGAGATCAACAACATGTCCTTCCTTACTGCTGACAGTAAGAGCAAGATGTCCAAGGTTTGTATCTGGTGTTTTCTGCTATCATGCTTCATACTCTTCTCTAATATAGACAAATTCTAACACCCTTTTCTCTCTGATATGTCATACCCCTTTTATTAGGTCTTCCTACTGCTCACCTTCATTTTATTTGCTAACATTGAAAACCCACAATAATTTAAAGTTTTTTTATTTAATACTTTCCTCACCTTGATCTTAAGTAAGAACTCATATCATTAACTTTATAACAGATGATCTACTGTTTTTTCAAGGACAAGTAACACCAAAATATTTGTCCAGGATACCTAAAAGATATGGTGTATTCACTAAAACTTGATTCAATGATAAAGGTACCTTCTTTGTGTCACGAATGCCAATAAAACCACAAGTATATATTTTTTTAATTATGTCTATTAAAAGTTCAGCCCACTGAAAACTCAAATTCCAGTTTTTGGTAGGTGCTAGACCACCTGATACTTTCTTATATCTCTCAGGAATTCTAATGATGAGATCTCTGTGCTCAAGTTCTTGGCTCTAGACACCTACTGTAGCTATTATAAGGGGTTAACACTTTCCTTGTTGGAGACTGGAGAATGCAGCAGTGGGCAGGTTCATCCAAGATTCCCACATGGACAGAAGTAGAGTTGGGAATTAGGCCAGATAGATCTTATTTTGGCAATATTTGAGACATATTAGAAGCCAGAAGGCAACGCAGCCCACCAGGGTCCACCAATATTAAAATATTGTATTTTGGAAGGCGCTTAGAAGTACACATGCAATGTGACATTACTCATGGGTATCATTTTATCAAGCGAGCCATTTTTTATTACCAGACATTATCCTCTCCAAAACCAGAGCAAAGGTATGTGATTCATACTGGATCACAGCATACGCTAGTGGATAAAATACTCAATGAGAAAAAAGGTTTATAGATTATTACTTAAAATTGATTACCATCTAATGTCAATGTGCACCTTTTTTCTATTCGCTGTAGAGAACCTTCTAGTTTTTTTGGCTTTATCTGACAAACTGTATTCTTGGTGTTACTAGCCCTTTGTCTGTATCTTCTTAGATCTGTGCCCTAGTATTACTCCTATATTGGTACTTTATTGAACGTTTGTATGATAAACTCTACCACTTGATACAATGTCCGTTCTCAGAGTCTAGTTACTACTATAACAAACTCTTGTGTTTCTCTTTTTGTTCCCGTGTTAGTCTGGAGACAGCCAGGTCAGCAGTCAACCTCTTCTCTTGTGGTGGGGCTGCTGTGTTGTTGCCCTCTGCCTGTGTGGATAGCATGGCTCCTTCTGTCTGTTTGTCCTTTGCTCACTTTATAAGGTGTCCTGAAATACTGTACTGTGTCAGCCGCCCTTAATAATTAGGACTTTAGTACAAAGCGTTCATAGTTTCCGGTAGCAACCAGTCAGTTTCCTGCTGCCAGTCTAATGGGGATTTTGATTGGTTGCTTTGGAGAAGCCCTTTTTAAATGTTCCTTTTCAGAACGTATAGCAAACGCTTCCGTTAGCATTGGCTTGTATGCTCTGTATGGACTTTCAGTTCTTTTTTATTAGAAAATATAGAAGGGCATCATGACTTCTAATGGTTAGAAAGAAAAATGCCCCGCATTGTCCACAGCAACTAATCTGTTCTAGGTCAGATTAGACAGTGAAAGGGAGAAGCCTTCTGCTTGCTGGGACAAGCAGACACTCTCAGTCTTAATGCTCTCTGGCTTTGGACTAGGCCTCCTTTTACTTTGCTGCTTGCAATTTCAGCTAAGTAGCTACAAGTCAAATCCGAATAAAGCTAAAGGGAATTTTAGACACAATACTTTACTTGCTGCATTTAAACATCAAGATAACACACTTGGGCTTGTTTAACGATAGCACAAATGCAAGTTGTGTGCAGTAACCTATTAAAAAATATATACATCAATAATGATTAAAGTCATCCTGAATTGACAGTCTATGCCTTTTAAAGGTCATGTATCATAAATTATTATTTTCTCAGCTCACAGTTTGCATACACGTTCCACTCTTAATGATCAAATAACAGCGTGGAAAAGTATAAAAATGTAAATAGCAAAATGGGTTAGTGTCATAAATGGGATCACTGGACATACTAGCTTATTGAACAGTAACAGTCTTAAATTGGTGCTTTCTAGTAGACTGTCAGCCAACTATTATGGCCTAGGCAATCCTCTTTTTCCTTATTATACTGTTAAATAGTCAGAATTAAAATAGACCAGGTACCAATATCAAGCCACATATCTAGAAATTCAGATAAAAAATACAATATAACATTGATGCTTTTCACAGTTCTTGTCAGTGCTCCTTATAAAGGATGATTGCTGTGACTCTGAAAAGAAGGACGTCAAGTGGAAGGACAAAGGGTGTTGTATATTTTATGACTTTAAGGTTTACCTTTTCTTCATCCAAAATCTGTAAACTTTACAAGATACCACTGCAGTTTATATGTATGCTTCCACTTGGGGCATAGTCAAAAGCTGATGAAGCAGACACCCAAGTCCCCACTCCTATCAGGGATTTCATTTTAGACAGCTCACGTGTTGACATGTACCTACACCCTCATGCAGGCACAAGAGGAAAGCAATATTGTGCTGCCTTTAATAGTTTTTCCTTGTGTACTAATGTAGGGGCACATGTATGGCCAGCTGAATGATACCAATTAAGGCTGAAATGTAGCCATCAAAAAATGCCATATAATGCAGCTGGAATCTTCTACTTAAAAAAATCTCCATTTTAATTTTTTAGCTGTTACTGGCTTCAATTTCTGTTCACAAATTGGCTCCAGTGTGACACTGCTTGCATTGGTCTGGGAGGGATTAGAAAACATGCTCCATCCACTAATATCCGCCCCATGCTATGTTTTGTTGCGCAAAACATGAATGTGTGTTGCATTGCAGTGCCAGAATTGATTGCACTGGATTGCAGTGCCAGAATCCACTTTTTTGGTGCATTAGGCAGCCTACTTTAATTAATGGGCAGCCTTAACATAATACATAGTGCACATTAACGCACCACAATGGTGTGAATGAGCTTTTAAGGTTACTCAGACATATGCAGAGTAATAGTGAATACATTGTTTAAGCTCACAGGAGCTGCTGAATGTTCCCTTGCTGCCTTGTAAAAGCTATCAGTATGGGAAACTGCAAGTGGTTTAAAATACAAAATATGCTTAGGAATTCACAAGCAAAATATATTTTTCACAGCAGAAGATTTTCCCGCCAGGGTTGGGAGTGGTAATGCTTAATAGGTCTTAATTCATAAAATAAAATTTGGTGGAAAGGAACTAACAATAATCCATTATGTGGCTTTGTTTTGATGTGAGAACAGGCAGAGGAAGGTGCATAGGATGTCATCCTATGGATCTGGTCTGGTATAAAATGTTGCAGAGTGCCTGCTAACCCTGCCTATATCATGTCATTCCCATCCTTTATGTATTCTCCTCTGTGTCTTTGATAAGTATTGTCTTCTGTCTTCATGACATCAAACATCCTCTTTCATGGCATATTCAGGCTTTCCCATATCTCGTTGCTTTCAATTTGGAGTTTTGTGTGCCCGTCCACTAATCTGCTGGTCTGTTCATTTGTGTAACATGTAGTTGTAGAGTTTCATTACTATGTTATAATCATTAGCATGATGCTGTCTACAGCCTTCTTTTTATTCATAGCTCTTGATGTCAACTTCCACATGAAAATGTAATCATGTCCCCTACAAGACATCTGGGCTCATATATAATCATCGTTACTTCCTTTCCTTCATCTTCGTGACTTTTATTTCACCTTCATTCTTTCTTAATCAGTCTTTTCTAATGCCAGTCACTCATCTTTAAAGGCCAGCTTCACCAAAAACTGATACTTCTGTTTTGGCAGAGTAGAAGCAAGTTAAATAATATGCTAGACTTGTATGTCTACATGAGTTTACAGGAGTCCAGTAGGAAGATAGTCCCTGCTGAAATGTCAGGCTTTGCCTCATTGTTGCAGCCAATCTTAAGCAGGCCTGATACCTACTCTATAAAATAGATGTGTAAACACAGAATCTACGAACAATAGTTTGGCATCTTTGTTATGACTTCAGCATTGTGAAAGAACTATGGTATGATGGTCTCTGCCCCAGAGTCTGTGAGATATCAGAATCCGGTGGATGAGCCAGCCATCAGTTCATGTCTTAAAATCAGTTTTCTTTGGAATTGGCCTATAACGTCTCGGCATTCCTGGGTTTTTTTTGTTTTCCTCTTGATATTGATGCATCTCCTTGTGCTGACCTACTATACTTCTGTGCAGATTCATCGCTATTTCTAATTAATTATCTCCATTCAAACTAAAACATACCATGTTGTTATCTAATGTTCGTTAGTTATAGTCACTTGTGTAACATGATCATCAATCATTGTTTGATGGTGTTGTGTTGAGGTGTAGATACCATCCCTGAAGCCTCCCCAGTGGTTGATCTTTCTGAGTGGTTGATAGTTCATTTACCAGTTAAGAGTAGTGCAGACATGTTCAGTAACCAAATAAGTACATTCATCTGGATTTTTCTGGAGTTGTCCATTAAGCTTTGCTGGAGACTTTAGGACAACTTTCACTGCATTTTCATTCTTTTATGTTCGACAGTATACATTTCACCTCCCTATAGCTCTACTTTAAATGTTGAAAGTACAGGTTAAACAGGTGTTAGCTTCTGTAGTCTTAAGAAAATAATATAATAATGAGATACAGTGCTCCGTATAAGAAACAAAGATAATGTTTGGTGAATTCTCTAACAAAGATATACTTAAAAATGTTTGGTTTATAGAAAGTTTTACTTCCATCATACATCTTAGAAAATAAACTTACAGGGTTATTCACACAGGGCTGGCCTTAGGCCTTTAGGCGCCCTGTGCGAGAAAGCTCTACAGCGCCCCTCAGTGACCACACCCCTCCGTGACCACACCCCTCAGTAACCACACCCCTCAGTGGCCACACCCATTCCTCCGATATCCACACCATTCAAAGACTCCAATTTTGGCAAGCCCCATAGAAACATATTAAAAAGTATGATAAAAATAAAACTTTTATTTAAAGGTATTAAACTTGTAAACACAATAGAAGTATTCTTATTACATAAAACAACAGAAGGCAAACAAGTGGTAAACAATAAATGTCAAACTAAAATAGAGTCTATAAAAATAAAGTGTCAGGATGTGACACAGACTCTTTCTTCAAGTAAGTGCATCTAGAAAAGTAAAAATAAAAAACAGAACACAAAACCTAGACTACATGTTAAATTGCTGAATTACTATTTACCTGAATATACGGAAAATGTATTCAGGCACATAATACTTTGTTTGAGAATGTGCGGCGGCCATGTTGGCCACTGGCGCATTTTGCGAATGCGTGCCAACATCTTGATGGCGGGGAGCATGCTGTCACATGACGCCATGCATGCGTGGCGTCAGGTGATGACACACGCCGATACAGGCGCCACCATCAGGGTGTATACCTAGATATACACCAAGATGGCGGCGCCCAACACGTGCAGTGTTTTATGACGTCATGTGCCCTGCCTCCAGAACATGCCAATGGCTGAATCCAAAATAGCATAAAGATTTGTTTTTGGAAGGCGCTTAGAAGTACACATAGACACATATTAGGCACCTGTTGAGTTACTGCAATGTCTGCTAGGCTTTCTAATGCCCATAGCCAGCTGCAACGTGACATTACTCATGGGTATCATTTTATCAAGCGAGCCATTTTTTATTACCAGACATTATCCTCTCCAAAACCAGAGCAAAGGTATGTGATTCATACTGGATCACAGCATACGCTAGTGGATAAAATACTCAATGAGAAAAAAGGTTTATAGATTATTACTTAAAATTGATTACCATCTAATGTCAATGTGCACCTTTTTTCTATTCGCTGTAGAGAACCTTCTAGTTTTTTTGGCTTTATCTGACAAACTGTATTCTTGGTGTTACTAGCCCTTTGTCTGTATCTTCTTAGATCTGTGCCCTAGTATTACCCCTATATTGGTACTTTATTGAACGTGTGGATGATAAACTCTACCACTTGATACAATGTCCATTCTCAGAGTCTAGTTACTGCTATAACAAACTCTTGTGTTTCTCTTTTTGTTCCCGTGTTAGTCTGGAGACAGCCAGGTCAGCAGTCAACCTCTTCTCTTGTGGTGGGGCTGCTGTGTTGTTGCCCTCTGCCTGTGTGGATAGCA